AAGGCCCCGAAAAAAAAAAAAAAAAAAAAAAAAAAAAAAAAAAAAAAACACCTCAAATTAAAAATAACTTCTCTGTGGTCCCAAATTCACAAACATCTTTTATCTTTATTATTCTAATTAGAGACCAAAGCTGCTAAAGTCCATGGAAATAACTGTCCCACTCAAAAGTGGTCTTTAATTGGAGGGAGACCTGTATACACATGGCAATTATAAATTAAGTGCATGGTGGATTTTTGTTTAATATAACATTAAAAGACAGTGTTATAAACATTAATAATAAATTCATATTTATTTTTAAACGATAAACGAATTGATAGAAAGTGGTGCGCCGGGTACCATGTAACTATCCATATACAAAGCCAAATATAATATATTTACATATAAAGCAAACACCTCTTCATTTTTAATTAACCTTTTTCTTTTATTTTTTAAACATAAAAATATTTTAATATATTAGGATTTAGATGGTTTTGAAAATCAGTTAGCCTAGCATCCTAATCCATATATATAAGTCCACAAGCAAAACAAGTTCCAAACGTGGAAATATGACACAAAATAAAATCAATAATTCATTACAAATAGGCCTATTGCACAAATAACTTTTCGTTCAAACACCTTGTAGTTGGAACCCAAAATGTATTAATATACCTTATTTACACTTCTGCTTTTGTAGCAACTTTAGTGGAAGCAAGGTTTAAGCTACTGTACTGGCCACGAGCTAGTTTTTTTTTCTTGTGTTAGCAAGAATTGATCAAGCTACCATCATGGAATTGAAACAAATGCACTTGATCAATTAGTCAAACTCTATTGTATTTGTTGTTGTTTAGAAAAAACTCTGATATTAATATATCTGTCTTACATGTTGAATTTCTATCACTTAACAGGATCCTTGACTGAACTATGAAGCGCCCTCGGTTAGATTTCATTGAGGAAGGTCTCACCAAGTTGTATGCAAAGTATGGACGTATTATCGCCCGCTGTCCATTGCCATTTCTTATCATCCCTGTACTGACTGCTATCGGACTAGGATACGGCTTGAAATACCTAGAAAGTGTATCCAGTGTCGAGTACCTTTATACACCACTAGACGGTCAGGGTAAAATTGATCGTGATACAGTTGAATCTTTGTTCACATTAGAAGATGTTGACGCTGCGTCCGTTACGCGACTGTCACGTACCATTTTGTATTCTTGGGCTATTATTACGACGAAGGATATCAACGGCAATGCCCTCTCCACTGATATTTTTAGAGAAATTCTTAAATTGGATGAAAAATTGAAAAATATAACGATCGTAAGAAATGGGATTGTGTACGGTTGGAATGACGTCTGTCTGGCTGTTAATGGAGAGTGTCTTCCTCTGTTAGTACTCGCAGCATTTAGAGATGATGTGGACAATCTTGATAATTTACAAATAACATACCCAGTATACACAGATGGCACCGGAAACCAGTATTTCCTTGGAACTGATGTTGGCGGCGTTACTTTAAAATCGGGCTCTGATGTTTTACTCGAGCGTGCGTTTGCGGTGAAGTTAAATTATTATCTTTCCATTGATAGGCGTGTTAGACAAGCAACGAATCTTTGGAGCAGCGCCTTCCTCAATTTCCTTCTGGACTACGAATCAGATTTGATTGATGTGCGCGTTTACACGACACGGTCATTGGAAACTGAATTGAGCAAAGTTGTAGATCAAATTGTACCAATTTTCGCAGTAGGGGGGTCGCTTCTGATAGCCTATGCAATCTTGTCAAGTAACAAACGTGACTGGGTACAAAACAAGCCGTTTCTGTGTCTCAGTGGCGTTATATCCGCTTTACTTGCAATATTATCTTCATTCGGCCTTCTTAGCTACTGTGGATTTGAATTCACCGAGGTGGTGGCATGTTTACCAGTTCTCATTCTGAGTAAGTTTCAGGATTTTTATAGAAAATGTTTCTTCCAATCTTCTGCATTCCTCCGTAGGCCTACTAACACACTCATATTTTGAATTTAAATGGATCTTAACTGTCGACAGGATAATATCTGTCTAACATTCGGATCCATAATATTATTATTACAGTTCGCCCTCGACTAGCCTGGGTTCCAAGCCCTAATTTTGGGTTACTCACTCTTCATTGACCTTAGTGCGTGCCATACCTAACTTAATTGGCGTCCCATACTCGATTTCTTAATTTTTTTAAGCCGTCTCTAAATTAACTTTTTCGTTTGTGGCGCTGTCCAGAATGAGAAATTAAAGGGAAAAAAAAAAAAAAAAAAAAGATACTTTGTGGCAGGTCTAGCCTCGAACTGAAAATCCGGAGTGTTCTCGGTGTGTGCTCTCCACTCAGAGGGTTAGTTTTGTATTCAAAGATTGACGACTGTTATTTATTTCTTTGAAAAAGTGGTCTTGAATTAAAGGGATCTCGGATTGGTGGTAGGTATACACTGTACCCAGATGCGACACGTTTAAGTGCGGGAGTTGTCCTTTATAATGCGACGATTATAGTCAAGCATGAAAGCACAGTTCAATTCGCCCTGCAATTCCAGACCGCCTTCGGACCTGGATATGTTGGGTGGTCTCAGGGTTCGGTCTCCAATTAGAGGGTTATTGTGTTAAAAGATTTGTATTTGGTTATTTAAGAAAGTGGGTTTCAAATTAGAGTGGTCGCGAATTGGAGGGTTGAAGTTAGACTGGATTCCAGTCCCTGAATTTTGTCTTAATCAGTGAAAATTATTAAAAATAAACTTTACTTATTTGCACCAATTGTGTCCCATAGGCCTACTATACTTTTTCTGGGTTTATAAAAAAGTTTTCGACATTAAAACAGACACTAGTGGAGCTCTCCGAAAGTATCCAAACTTGAAAACAAATTTATCAAGCATTACCAACTTCCTTCGTGCTTACAGACAACAATCACATGGGTGCCACCAGCGAGTACAATAATAATAATAATAATAATAATAATAATAATAATAATAATAATAATAATAATAATATAATAATAATAATAATAATAATAATAATAATAATAATAATAATAATAATAATAATAATAAATCGAATATGGGACGCCAATTTGGTATGGCGCACAGTAAGCGCAATAACAAATGTGTAACCCAAGTTTATAACCTAGAAACCTGGCTACTGAGTAAGGTATGTTGTGTTTACGTGTTATGACGGCGCAAACCATCTGAAGCATCCGTTGCCTTTTTAAGCATTGCTGTCAGTTAGCGCTAGCTATATTTTTTTTTCTAGAAGCAACACTGCACATGTGAGATTAAAGTTCCAATCACTATCATCCATTGATACACTCAATAAAATACTAATTTAAGGTTAGCCTAAATAAGAAGTGGCGAATTCAATGTGGCGGTAGGGAAGGCAGCCAACACAGGGCCCCCTAAATTTTAAAAATTATTTTAGAAAATTGAGAAAAAAAATGAAATTATATTTCTAGTCATCTAGAAGTGCCACTGATAAGAAAAATATAACAATGATACTCTAAATTAAATACAAAATGGAGGCTTGTTTAAATTTAAGGCATACGTTAATTTAAAACTATTAAGCAATAAATGTAAGTCTACTCTTCGCCTGTTCTTGTGTCTCGTGACAAACATTTCTATTATGTCGATTCATACATTATTTTAGAATAACAAAATAATTTAATAATAACAATAAATGTAAGTATACTCTTTGTCTGTTCTTGTGTCTCGTGACACAAAAGTTTCTATTGTGTCGATTCATACGTTATTTTAGAATAACAAAATTAATTTAATAATAATGATAATAACAGCAGCAACAACAACAGGCCCGTACGCAGGATTTTTATTGGGTGGGTACGAATTTGTAGATAGTGGAGCACAATGGCGGGGTGGGGGCGCCAGGGGAAGAGTCCTGCTGGTGTCGAGGGGGCGGAGCTCAGATATTTTTGATAAATTGAGGTCTTATTTAAACAATTAATTACAATAATTCATTCATTCATTCATTCATTTATTCATTCATTCAATCATTTAATCAATCAATCAATCATTCATTCTTTCGTTTATTTATTTATTTATTTCACAACTACATCCAACAGCCAATAGCAAATAACAGGATGTTTTAGATATACAATAAATACATTTAAAAAACATTTAAAATATGATATCATAGTGGCCAAAAAAACAGCATAAAAATATAAAAATAAAAGTGTTTGTGAAAATTCAAATCAGCTTATTTTGCATGATTTCTTGAGTAGCTTTTCTAGCTTTCTTAATTCCGATTTACTAACAAAAAGATCGAAGCAAAATCAAGATGAACACAAATTTAACGAAATAAACACAAATAAGAAACTATTAAACTTCTAAATTACAACTTTGTCTTTAAATGTTGATAAACTTAGGTGGAATACATCAATCGTGGTGTCTAACAATATTATTGTAATGTAAAACAAGCCTATGAATAAATCCATTTCTAGTACGGTTTATTTTATTTAATGGAATGAATAGCCATTTCGTGAGTTTGGTGAACCGGCTGGCCTTTGAATCCGCCACTATCAGTGGATCCAGGAATTCGAATTTTAAGGACCAAGGAAGGACTTTCACAAATTGGGGGTCTATAACATCTCATCATGTTTGGGGCTGGGGTGAGAAAATTTATGATTATGGCACCTCTAGATGGCCAGAAATGTCACTTTTCAGACTTAATAATAATAAATAATAAATAATAAATAATAATAATAATAATAATAATAGTGTGTGAGAAATTATTTATATTGATTTTAAACCCATTACCACAAAATAATAATTAGGCTATATATATTACATGTTAACTGTTTAAACCCATCGTACTGATGGTTTATCAGGTTCCTAACAATATCTAGCGCCTAAAATCGTCAGTAATACTGAAGAATGGCAAAGACTGCTTCAGAAATCTTACAGAAAAAACAATCGACATCAATATTCAATAATAATATTATTATATTTATTGTTTATTATCATAATCATTTGTTTGACAAATACCCGCGACGACCGGTAACAACGTTGGTTTTTTACCGGCGATTTTACGGTGAAAGCGGCGACGAAACAACGAAAAACGATTGTGACATGACCATGGTAATAGTGAGTTTTATCATTGCAATAATAATAATAATTATCATTATTATTTCGATAATTATGCCTACTAAATGATTGTGGTAATGTTGGTAATGGTGTGGTGGTGGTAGTAGTAGTGGGGGTGGTGATTATATGACGATGAATATGATGATCAAATTTCGATTTTTTTTTTCTTTTTTGTGTGTCTAGGTATTGGCGTCGATGACATGTTTATTATGTTGGCTGCTTGGAGAAATACAGACATTCGCCAATCTGTCGAGAACAGGATGTCTAGAGCCTTTAGCGAAGCCGCGTTGTCCATCACCATTACGAGCATCACAGACGGAGTTGCTTTCGCTGTAGGTGCCTTCTCCACATTTCCATCTGTCCGGATATTTTGCACGTATGCCGCTGCCGCCGTGACCGCAGACTTTATCTTTCAGATTACATTTTTCGCGGCAGCTATGGCATTGTTCGGTTACCGTGAATCTAGCAATCGCCACTGCCTGACTTGTTTCAAAGTGAAGCCCAACGACGAAGCACCGAATTTGGCCTACAGAGTGATGTGCGCCGGTGGGCCGTCACAGTTAACAACCATGACATCTGAACTCGCCCCCAGCTCGCTTATGCGGTTTTTCAAAAGCGTGTTTGGACCGATAGTCTTACATAACGTTTCAAAAGTCATTATACTAATTTCTTATGGAGTATATCTGGGATTTGGTATCTGGGGTGTGTTAAATGTAGATGAGGGTCTGACCCTCTCAAGTTTAGCTGCTGATGACTCATATGTGAACGATTTCTATGAATATGAATACAGATATTTTCGCGAGTACGGCCCGAGTATAATGTTGACCATTACCGAAACGGTCGACTATTCTGACGTTTCCGTTCAAGAAAGCATTGAAAAACTTGTATCAGACTACGAAGCGCTCAACGTCATCCACTCTTCAACATTCACTGAATCATGGCTTCGTTTATACCTGCAATATCTGGCAGCTGCAAACATTACTTATAGCAGTAATGAGGAATTTGTCGCGATATTACGACAACAGTTCTTACAGCTCAACGCGTATGCTCATTACGCGCAGGACATTGTCTTCGCCGACGATATTTCGACAGAAATAATTGCATCACGGTTCATTTTAATGTCCAAAGATATCAGCAGCACGTACAAAGAACAAGAATTGTTAGTTCAAACTCGTGATCTCTTGGATAGTTCACCTTATGAAACATTGGTATATAATCCTCTTTTTGTCTTCTTCGACCAGTATACTGTCATTTTACCGGCCACTTTGCAGAACCTAGGAATAGCTCTTGCGGCCATGTTGATAGTATCTATTCTCCTTATTCCAAGTCTGAGCTGCAGTATTTGGGTTGTAGCTGCGATCGCTTCCATTGAGGTTGGCGTTATTGGTTACATGACGTTTTGGGGCGTGCGTCTGGATTCCATTTCCATGATCGTCATCATTCTGTGCATCGGATTTAGTGTCGATTTCTCCGCACATATTACTTACTCGTACACAATAGCCCCTGGAAAAACCAAGAAAATGCGAATGAATAACGCGTTATTTTTACTCGGTATGCCCATGCTACAAGGCGCCGTTTCAACGATCCTGGGCGTGCTTGCGTTGGCTTTCTCTCCGTACTACATCTGTCTCTTATACACATCTAGATGTGTATAAGAGACAGTAATAATAGTGTGTGAGAAATTATTTATATTGATTTTAAACCCATTACCACAAACTAAGAGTATTCGGAAGGATAAGACTACCAGGAAGTCTGTGAGAGGTATGAGCTTTAATTCGCATGGTACTCGACGCGCATTAAAAAAGAGAGACACACTAATGGCAAAACAAAAAGCAGATGATAATGATAAGCTTAATTATGTAGTCTCGGTTGTTGATGGTGTCGAAATGAACACAGGCAGTGAACAATCTTGCCCCGTAAACAGGGATCCGATTGTTGAATTTAATAACAAAATGATCGTTTTTGATTAAGATTAGTTGCAATATATAAAAATTACGTTTTATTTTTTGTTCGTGTTTGTAGAATAAATCAACATTTTCCAATGCACAATACAACTAGAGCAGTCATTTCATAGAATGCATACCTCCGCCCTGTGCTTCTTGAATACCGAACAATACGCAGGTCGTGGTATGGGCGATCCCATTATTTTCCGCCCTGTGCCTGAATACCAAATAATACGCAGTAGCCATGATAATGGGACATTCCAATAATTTCTTGTATAAAGTAATAAAAAACAGCAGCACTTTTGAGACTAACAATATATAATTTATTCTCTAGCTTTCGTCCACACATTTGTACAGTCTCCTGATGAAGTCCACTGTGTGGACGAAAGCTAGAGAATAAATTATATATTGTTAGTCTCAAAAGTGCTGCTGTTTTTTTATTACTTTATACTTTCTATACTGTACAGACTAACGCGGCTATACTTTTTATTCAATAATTTCTTTTATGCTCGGGGTATTTCCGTGACCTTGATTTTGTCCTTTGAGATTTTCTTCCTAAAATTAGACGCAAGATCCTTTCGATGAAGAATAAAGCTAATGGTAATAATAAATAGAATATAAATAAATAATGGTCAATGGTTGTGCACTAAGCGCATATTGTATTTGTCTCTATGCGCTTTGTAGAACAACATAAAAGAATAAAAAATGAATATGCAGTAGGCAATATGCCTACATAAATATACGAAGTTTAAAATAATGTTTTTTATATTTGGATTACTCAATGAATTCTTTGAAATATAATCCATTTATTGCCCTCAGTGCGCGCCATACCAATTTAATTAGGGTGGGAGTCTCGTCTTACTATTTGGTGGCGCTGTGCAGTATGACATCGTCGTAAGCGTAGCCACTTTGAAAAAAAAACAATGGACTGGTGGAAAGTCTACTGTAAATCTGTTATAATAATAATCTGTAATCTGACATACTTCTCCTAAGGGCTGTACATAAATTCAGGTATTTATAAGTATGGTCTCGCACAGATACCTTGTTTAAGTATAGAGTGTTATGTTAGTACTGTACTCAAATAATTGTTGTTGTTTGTTACGAATGTTTGCCG